TCATAAAAGAAATGCAATTTGGTATACCTTAAAAAGTGTAGCCTTCTGCATATTTTTTATATAGAATATTAGCAGAAAGCTACATTTTTCTAGATATATATTCAGATATAGCAAGAAGTCTTTTGCATAATCATTATATAAATATTGACAATCAAATAGGCCAGCCATGATAATATAAATTACACTACTAATACTCTAACTAACTGATCATAAATATATCATCAGTTCTGTAATGTAAAATAGCCATACATATATCAGCAACAAATAGGCAATAGTTGGGTTGTAAAATAGTATCAGCTTTAATTTTTCAAATTATATATCTCAAAATCACTTTATCTTGTAATCAAATGGGTCAGACATGATCTCTTAAAAGTTACGTAAATTAAACTTTTTACATGTAGTATTTGTATAGATATTATCATATCTGATATTATTCTATATTCAATTAAGATAAAAAAATATAATAGAAATACTTACAGAATATAAATATACTTTATAAGATGAATAAGATAAATAAGATAAACATTATGCTTACTCATTTTGTAATAATGATCTAATAAAATCTCGTATAATTATGTATTGAATTTTCAGAAAAACAGTGAACAGTATTCACAGTTTTTGAATCACATGATAATAATTTGAACTTCAGGATACGAAAATAGTATACTTATACTGGTGTCACAAATGGTATACTTCTGGAGATGCTTTGGTATAATGATTGCTTTATGATAGGTTCTGATCTATCTTTAACAAAAGTAACTTAGGGTAGTCCCAGATCTTCTGCTAATTTATTTTGATCATTAACATATTAACGATATTTTTGATTTTTTTCTAAAGCACTCTAATCATTAATAGTATTTAAATATATATAGAATTCGCCAACACGATATTTTTTTACCACATTTTTGAGATCTAGAAAGGTAACTAAATAGACACAAATTCTTAATATAGACTAGCATCCAAACTGGCTGGCCTAACACTAACAACTAAGAAGAATAGTACAGTACTACGTGTCTGACCAGCAATTAAAAGGTTTAAAAATGAAAAACAAACCACTATTTACTTAGTAACCAATCAGCCGTAGAGCTTCACTAGCATAAATTATATCAGAAAGCATTTATTAATGCACAGCATATAATAAAAATAGGCACATTCAGATTATTTAGTCATAGTCATAATTAGATTATTTAAATCACATGATCATAAATAATAAATATGAAACAGAAAAAGAAATCTGATTTCAAAGATAAGAAACATAATAAGAAAAAATAGATAGGTATAAAAAATCACCACAATTAGATTATTTAATTAGATTATTTAATCATAATTCGATTATTAATTTTAGATTATTAGTTATATTTAAATTATTTAGTTATATTTAGATTATTTAGTCATATTTAGATCGTTTAATCGTATCTAGATCATTTAGTCATATCTAGATTATTTTATTAATAAATAACCTAATCTAAGCTATATATAATTAAATAATATAATTATATTATTTAGTTATAAACAGTTACTTACTATCTATTAAATTTAAATAAAAATTTAATTGATTTTAAAATTATAATAACAAATATAATTAAATATTGATAATCAATAAAAATAAATTACAAACTATTATATTATTATTTATTAAATATTTTTAAATAAAAAAATTCAGTTAGATTTAAAGAATAGTAAAAATATAATTAATTAATGATAATGAATAATAATAACTTACTTTCTTTTAATATTATTTTGATTTTTAAATAAAAAATTTAGTTAAATTTAAATTATAATAAAAAGTATAATTAAATAATAATAGCTTACTTTCTAAATTATTAAAAATTTTTTTAAATATAAATTTATTTAAGATTAAATATTAAAAATAAAAAATATAATTAAATAAATTAATTTACCATCTGATGCTAAAAAATTAATTATTTTTTTTTTATTTTTAATATTAAAGTAAAGTATAAAATAAATATTTAATAAATTAATTATTAATTTTTTTAAAATAAAAAAATTTAAAAAATAAAAAAATTATAATTAAATAATGATAATATTTTACTTACTATTATTTTTATAATAAAAAAATTTTTAAATAAAAGATTTATTAAAGTAATTTAATTAAATATAGATAATTAATAAAGTAACTTGCTAAAAATTTCAATTTATTATATATTTTAAAAATAAAAAAATTTGATTAAGATTAAATTTATAATAAAAATATAATTAAAATCAAATAATTTACCATCTATTTATTATTCATTTTTTTAAATAAAAAATTAATTAAGTTTTAATTATAGTAAAATTATAATTAAATATAAATAAACAATAAAAATAACTTACTTGCTAAGAATTTCAATTATTAAAAAAAAATATATAATTAAGATTAAATTATAACAAAAGTATAATTACAATACAATTAATAAAAAAGCTTACAATCTAAAAGATTTAATATTTTTTAAATAAAAAATTTAGTTAAAATTTAAATTACAAAAAAAAAGTATAATTAATACTATTAATTAATAAAAATAACATACTTTCTAATATTAATATATTAAAATAAAAATTTAGTTGAGTTTAAATTATAGCATTATAATTAATAACTTACGTTCTAAATTATTAAATATTAATTTAATAAAAATTTATTTTAATTATATAAAAAGTATAATTACTTACTTTCTAATATAATTCATTATTAAATATTTTTTTAAATTAAAAATTGTGATAGATTATGAATTATAATAAAACATAAATTCAATATGGATAATCTATACAAATACTAAATTCGTAAACATTTTATTAACAAGAAAAATTATAGTAAAGTTTAAATTACAATAAAACATTAATTATAATCAGTAAAAAGAACTTACTTTCTATAATAATGAATAATTAAATATATTTTAAAGAAATTTTGTTAAGTTTAAATTATAATAAAAGTGTAAATAATCAATAAAATAACTTACTCTCTTGATAGTTAATTATTAAAGATTAAAAACTTTGATAGTAAAATTATAATTAAATATAAATAATCAATAAAATTATTTACCGACTATTGTATTATTAATTATTAAATATTTTAAAATAAAATTAGTCGAGTTTTAATAATAATTAAATATAGATAATCAATAAAAATGACTTACGTTCTAAGTTATTAAACATATTTAGAATTAATTATTTTATTAAAGATTATCGCTTATTTAGTAAATCGATAATAAAAATTTTTTTTACCATATAATTCTTCTAATTCGGGAGCGTCTAATTAAGAAAATTCTTTTTGAATATTTATCTTTAGCATGCAGAAATAAATTAAAAATGTACCCTCATCTTTATCGTTATTATCCGACATTGTAGTTGTAAAGTCTACAGGAATAAAATTGAACTAACAATACATTTATAACAATAGCATTCCGCAGAAAAACCTTTTAACCATTGACCAATAAAATAATATACCAGTATATCAAATTTCAAACCAAATTTATTTGTTATTTACATCTATATACTAAAAAAAAATTAATAACAATATAGTCGCTATTTACCCGACTTGAATTAGAAGGCATATATTTCATGCAAAATAATAAGGAGCTTAACTGCCGAAACTTTATTAAATTTATTGTCAAATAATTTAAGTTTACTCAGATCAATCTAATGAACTAATAACGTTGCATAATTTATAATTTAGATGTTTTTGATACTTCAATAGATTATGTCATTAGGAAAATAATTTCGCCATATTTCACCATTCAACGAGTCAAACTGTTGATTGATCCCATACATTATATATTTATTCGACTTTTTTAGTTGAAAATTTAATTTTCTCACTTCGGTAAATAAAAGCTTCCGTTATCAGAAATAAATTTAAGAGTTCTCTTTATTCTTTAGAAGCGAAAAAAAAAAATTTAAAATAATTTGGCTTCCGATTTTGCACATATGCACAAAATAAAAACGCGAACGTATAATATCAACAAAACAAATCCAATAGAATCTCATACATATTTCTATTTTCGAGTTTGAGGTTATCAACTTTTTTGCAATGAGATTTTTTTTCGAACTGGACGAAGTATTACTTTTGAAATTTAGAGGAAAATAAAAATTAATTCGTTTAAAAGGTGTTTGCAAAAGAAATTAGGAAAGAAGTTGTGTTTGTAGTTAAGCCATGGATGAAATAAGATAGGAACAAAAAGAACTTTTTTTTTTTTATCTTTTTACTTCATAAATTGAAGTTAGAACAATTCCATCTGGGCAATAAAAGGAATGGTCTTCATTTAACAATCAGCATCAAAATAATATCATCAGCTGCGCAAAAATTGCTTTTTAAAATATTATTAAAGTCATAAATATTTCAATTTATGTGTTGCGTTCAAATTTAAAAATTAATTAAATTGTACTGTCGTTCAATTAACATAAGTTGGACAAAATTAAAAGTAAAAAAAAAAATCATTTGGAGAATAAAAGTCGTGTACCATACAAATTGCATTTTTCATTTATTATTATTATTATTATTTTTATTATTTTTAAACAACTGTTAAACAAATACAAAAAGACAACAAAATATTACATTTAAATCTTCCGTTGTGACGAATTAAGCTTTTCTCCAAATATGGTAAAATTTATTGAATGATGACCCTTTTAAGTTAAATCATCTGTTAAAAGAAATCCTTGTTTAATGATCTACAGTGCAACAGTGCATGAAAAAAGTTACGGCGCCGCATTATTGGTTTATCGCATTTTAATAACGAAAAACTTTATTAGTTTGTAGGGATCGGAGGACAAGAAATCCAAGTCCCTTGGAGAAAACGATAAATTAATGCATTTAATTGGATTATGAGTACAAGACCAGTTGTATGTAAGAATTTTCTTATAAAAAATGTCGAGTTTTTTCACCTTTCAATTTTCAAATATTCAGTTCTGAAATATTTACGACAATCATTAAAAAAGAATCAAAGGATTCCTTTCAATTAAATTTATTTCAATTCTTAAATAATTGATCTCACTCTCGCACACTCACAACAATGAAAGGAATCAATATTGCCATTTTAACCACCTTTGTTTTGGCAATTCTTTATGCAACTACTTCAGTTGCTTCAATTCCCGTTAAAGCTGGCATTGAGAAACCATCGGTGACTTTATTCAGCAGAAGTGGTATAAATAATTTTGAAATTGACTCGAATGACTTTTCATCCGAAGCTTTCATTAGATCTAGAAAAAGAAATGGTGACATTTCAGTTAGAGATGATGCTGTTGATGTCGATGTAAATGAAAATGAAGTTAATGCTAAGGCAGACGCTACTTTAAATATAAACAAAAGAAATGCTGACATCTCTGCAACATTAAATGATTTTGTTGAAGGCAGCGCAAATGAAGATGAAGTTACCACAGCCGATGCTTCTTCAATTGTAAAAATATTGAATAAACGTCAAGTTTCCAGCGAAGTAACAGCAGATGCGGATTTCGTCGACGTGAAGTCTGAAGATTCAAAAGTTGAAGTCGAAGTTAAACCTGATTTAAATAATGTTCAGGTTGATAGTAATTCCAGCGTTGGGAAAAGATGAACTAGGTTCATAATACAATAAATTATAGATTATCATGTTTTATATTTTCAAATGTGTAAAGTATTAAATAGAAATATATATTCAATATATATTATAAATTGTATCATTTTATCCTCATGTATTAATAATATTAGACTTTTTATTCTTTAAATAATTTTCGCTAATTTTTGTTTTATTTATCAATATTTCTTGTTTTCTCATATATATTTGCTCATATTTATTTTTTTAAAGTAAGTCGTCAATATTTTGGAGAATTTCGAAAAAAAAAAAACTAGAATTTTTATTCAATACTATATATTTTTTATCCATAGTTCTATTCTCAATAAACTGACTATTTTATTTTATTTGTAAAATTTTCGGAATGACACCTTTCAATCGATGCTCTTTCCTGATCACATTAAGATATAACATATCATTTTCGTTCAACTATCACAACAATTACAACATTTGTTTATATTGATATTATCGTGTTATGACGAGTTTAAACTAAGATCGTCAAATTTTTTATTGATATACAGTAACTATTTTTTTTTTAAAAAAATAAAATACAGTAAAATTTTGGAGTAAATAATTTAAAACTGTAAAAGTTGGAAATATCTAATTTTTAGCTATCATCCGCCATATGAAAAAAGAAAGTTTAAAATATTTTCACCTACTGTAAATTTGGAAAGTTAGATATGATACAGATAAAGCTAACCGTTATGCTAACTGTTAAATTATTACGACTCAAAGCTTATCTTGCTCCTCGTTAAACTTTTAAAAAAATTCATGATATTTCATGTATCATTTAAACAAGCATGACTAATAGTTAAGTTATTCTTTTCAAACCGGTCTTATTCAGAATATTAAAGGTAGGTCAATTCTTTTATACTACTTCGTGAAACATGAGTGCCCTTGTTAAAGTGAACATGATTATTTATACTGCACTTTTCAGGTTCGATGTAAATCTAATTTTTTTGAAAACAATTCTACTTATCAAACCTCATTTATTACGTACGTCGAAGAATTCTTGCAGTGCATATAATCCGACCTCCCAGGCTCGGAAATTATATCGCAATAAATAATCGTAAAGAAAGATAAAGGAAGATCAATTTTTTTGCAGGGAGGGCAAATCTCATTTTCAGACGACATTTAAAATTTATTTACTAAATGAATAGTATTCGTCGATTCCTTTCTTAAAAAATTTTTCGATTCTTCAACACAATCGCTTCTTCAAATGGCACAAACGATAATTTACAAGTGATTGATTAATCATATAAATTTTTATTTAATAAATTTTTTTCATTTAAAAAAATTAAATTAAGAATTCAGTTAAGGCCAATATCTAGTTTGCCATTATTTGTAACTAAAAAAAAGGGATTCGAAATACTTGTACAACCGCACTAACGCACTTTTGCGCAGCAAATCTAAGATGTTACAAATATCTCACGTATTATTAAGCAAAAAAAAATATATATATATATATTGGAAAAATTATATAATACCGAGATTCATAAACTTTTCCTAAATCGATAATTATAGACCGAAAAAATTAAAATATTTTTTTTTTTTGAATATTATATTAAAATTTCGAGGCTCAAATAATACTGTACATCCAAAAATACAAAACCAATTATTTTTTAATGTTGAAATCAAATGACAAAATATTTATTGTCAATCGAAAAATATTGTGGCACATGTGGCACAGTAAGATTCGGAGTTTTCTTTTATTTTTACAAAACAAGTAAATAAAATCATACATATTAACACATGAAAGAGATTCTTAAATATGAAAACCCACTATGGGCGTTGCCTCGCAACGATTACCTAAGAACGATTTAAAACAATCCTTGAAACAAAATAACTGTTATAAAATGAGATTATGAATAATAATAAAAAAAAATTGGAAGGTAAAAACAAAGGTTAATTAAACTAATTTAAATTTAATTCCTTCAAACTATATTATTGAAACTAAAGATTTTTTATTTTTTTTGATAGGTATTGAAATTGTAAATATTCTAAATATTAAACATTTTAAAATATTTTTTAAAATTATGTAAATTACGTGTAACAACCACCTTTCAAACGAATCATTAATTTATATTAATAATTCCAAACGTTGCTGGAAATTTCTTCAATGTTAACCACAAAAAGGAATTCATTTTACAAAATTTGTAACACAAATTCATCACAAGTTCTCATGTTCCCGAGTCAATATGCTTTGTCCCGAATCAACTTTCTTCGAAAATTTTCCATCATATAAAACCAATCAAATGTTCTGTACCTTGCACGAGGTTTCATCTTCTGTAAGATATAAAGAGGTGCTAAAATTTCGAGAATTTAATTCAATATACAACAACATGTCACAAGACCCTCTCTACTTGGATATTAACAGCTTGGCCAGCCTCGCTGATCTCTTTCGGATGGTTGAAGAGCCTGAGTGTTCCAAAGTTCGATTTGCCGAAAATGTGAATCTACGAAAGTATATCGAAAAGTCTTATAGAGGGAATATCTTACCCTACAACAATTGGACACAACGCATGTTACGTTTGGAAGAAATTAAACTTCGCTTACCTTCACTTGCGAATGCGGGTGATGTCGATGAACTCGTTCAAAGGTTGAATAGCGCTAGCCCCCTTGATGAAGAGCAGAGTTATTCGGCTGGGATAGTCATTCAGCTGGTGACACGTTTGTTGACCTTTTCGCTGCAATTTCGAAGATCTCTCTCCGCTGTGCCAAAAGATCGTTTAACTTCGGCTCTATCTGCCGTATCGGATTACCACAGTGCTGTGTTGGATCTCTCGAACCCTTTCACAACGTTACCGTGGAAAGTACTTGAGAACGATTTCATGGAAAAAGCTCAAAATATGTTACAATTACCTTTCAATCCGTATGTATATTGGTTTTAATATATTTTTTTTTATAAGGTTTTTCATTTCTAACGTTTGAACGTTCGATCTAAAATGAATGACACAGGTACAGCGATCCGACGGGTGATATGAAAGCGTAACGTATCATAAATCCTCTTTGTCCGTGACTACAGCCTTTCTCTCACACGATTTCTTTCTTAAACTATTGCAGAATCATTTCCGGTGCATCTCCTTTTGTAGTCACAGGTGGTGCGATACAACCCTTGGACACGACCGTAAGCTTTATTGAAAACATTTATCGTCAGGCGGCCGGGCAATTCAAATCCTTTGACAAATCCGTTCATTCCGATGCTTCCTTCACACAATTTGGGTTCAAGGAATTTGTGCGCCATAAAATCCCAATGAAACGGGTTATCAACGGGGCATACATATGTTACGCGGATCCTTTGAACAAAACGTATTATTACACCACCCTCACACTTGACCCATTTCGATTCAAGGTGTTAAAGAACCTGATCATTTATGAGATCGTTTCCGGAAAAGCGGCCTACATTCACAGTGCCTTGCACCTCTTCATGAGTATGTGCACGTGTGAAGAGGATTTCCGATTGATGATCAATTACGGAATCATTCAATGGGGATTTCCAATGGAAGGGTATGCTAGTTTTTGTGAAAGAATGAAGGAGCTGTTGGACATTATGTATTGTTGGAAATTTACAAACACGTGGACCTGGCACACGGAATTGGTCAAGATTGCAATGTGGAAGGATTCAAAGGGGGACACATCCACATGGAATGACTTTGCAACTACTTGCTATTCCGGAGGATTGCTCAAGACGGAAGTGACCGCTGCTATATTCAAGAGCCTTTGTTAGAAAAACAAAGGTAGATATTAATTCACTTTGTTACGTATTTAAAATGATTTTGATCTTCCGAGCTGAACTCATCATACTCTTTCTAACATCATGACAACCGAATTTTGTATTTCTCGAATCAAAAATATATTTTAGAGTGAATTATTTTATTTTATTTTATTTATCCGTCTTGTTAATTTTTTAGAAAAAATAGAAAGTTCCTAGGTGAATTTATTCTTTTGGTTTTTTTTTTTTCAATCATCTATTCATTTATTCTTTTAAACCACCCAATTTTTAATATTTTTCCCTTGGAAGTAATTTCTCCCGTCACACCGATATCAGAGGAAACTTCTTTGTTTTAATTATTATTTTTTTTTGTATTTATTACTTCATTACATCTTTTATTCCTGATATCTTTACATTTATATTCTTAAAAATAAACACACAACATTAACCAGAAATTTTAAATTCCACCTAAAAATTTAAAATTAAAATTTCTTGCTCATTCATTCCGAAATTTGAAGTTTTTTTTTTTTTTTTGCAATAGATCATGACTTGTGTTACAATCTATGTTATGAAATTGTAATCAGTTAGAATAAACAAATAAAAAATTTTCGTTGTTGAAGAAAAAGTAATTCTAATGCCAAGAGTTTAATGTTACAATCGTATAGTGAATAGCGTCTTAATCTACAGATTGTTTTTATTTAATGTGGGGGTCTGCGCATTTATTGAAAATTTACAAATTTGTAAAAGAAAAGTTATAAAGATGTTTCTGATAATGTATGCAATTTAAATTTCTTGTACGCCCATCTTACATGGATGGAATAAGGAAATGAACAAAGTTAATTAATATTTTCAAGCTAACAACAACTTATAGAACGAATCAAGTTTTTTTTTTTAAAGTTGAAAATTTTCCACGAATTAATTTTAAGGATGAATCTAATTGTAAACAACAGGTTACGCATCTTATTTGTAACAACTTCAATTTTATCCAATCAAAATTTAAGATCCAGGTGTAACGTAAATAATTTAGCAAAAAAATTTTTTTTTTTAAAAATTTCAAGAAACTGTTTATAACTTAAAATTTTGTCTATGAAGCTGCCTTTTGTAAAGTAAAAATTTTCCAAATTAAATTTTGCATATAAAAATTTTATTTATAAAATATTTAGAATAATTTATTATTAAGAAAAATAAAAAAGGATGTTACAAATAAGATATGTAACAATGTTGATTTTTTCTAATTTTAAATGATTATTCGTCGTTAACTTTAAAATACAAATAATTTAATTGTATTTTATTCAAAATTAACAAAATTAGTTAATTCATATTTAGGATAATGTTTAAAGATTATAAGTTACTTATAAATGATGGATTCTAAAATGGTATTTTTTAATGAGATTGCTTAATTGATGCTCGGATAACACGCATATTTTTTCCTGTTTTCTTTTTTAATCTATTAAGGTTTGTCCTTGAGCAGGTTACACAACACTTGTAAAATAATTGAAGAATAGTGATTTTTAATCTTGTAATTAGTGAATTTTAAACATAAATCACGCTGCTTGATTTACAGGTTGTTTAGTATTCGCGCATATCAACGAATTGCTTTGCTTTGTTACTTGAGTTCTTGCGAATTAGCTTAAATCTATTAAACAAATTTTTTTTTTTCTTTTTCTTTTTGTATAATTGAACTGTTGGATCGTGGAATTTTATTTTATTTTTTTCAAAAATCTAAAACTTCCCGTTCTTTCATCATCAATCAAATAATTTCTCTGTTAAACTCAACTTTTATACCAAATCATTGACTAAAATGAAATTCCTAAATACTTATCGATATCCTTTTGATTAAAATTGCTTCATTCATATTGCCTATCTCACCCTGAGGTACCCATACCAGAAATCCCGATTTACCATACGGATGTACCACCACCTAAACCTTTTCAATAATTCTTGATAAATTATTTTTTACAACCCAATTGTTTATTTATTTATTTATTTATTTTTATTGAAAAATCGAGAAATAAATAAAAAATATGTATATTTATATAGATAAGTATTACTTTTAAATTTAGGTTTAATTCTCTAATTTTGTTAATCTTACTGTGATCCCAATCGTCCTTAGAAAATTTGGCTTGTCGTCTTATATCTTCTAGATAATGATCTTCCTCAAACGAATACGGGGCATAACTGACTTCAGAAAATCCAAACTCCCACTTGTGATCGGAACCTTCGTATTTTTTTGAGATCATTACATCAGGAACTGTATATTCTTACAGTTTGATCAGGTACTTTAATGAGTTTAGATTTGATGGTGTATTATGGTGATTTTTTTTTCTTAAAAATAACAGGGGAATATTTTATTTTTATTATTCTAATGTTCGTTATCTTTTTTGGTTATTATAATGATATAATTACCACTTTATAATCTATCTGTCATTCCACGATCCAACTATATCTTTTTACTTGTTCTTCAAAAATAAATAAAATGCTTTAGAATACAAATCGATCTCCCTTCATAAATAATTTATTTCCTTCTCCTGGGTCTGTATATTATCTTCTTAGCTCCGTTGTAACGCATTTGGGTTACAACAGCAATATTACTACCATCAGGACCCAAATATAAATCTTCGAGGCATTCGGTGATCCATATTAATTTCATCTGCCCATAAAGTAAGAATGTTATTTTAATCATCTCTATAATTAAATCAAAGATTTATTAAATCATTTGTTGCGTCAAAAGTAAGTCCAAAATGTTGCTGCCATTTTTATTATTAGTCAATGAGAATTTTTTGAACAAAATTCATTTTTGAGAGTATTAAGTCGTTCTTCAGATTTTTCGATCCTTTAATATGATGTTCCGCAAGAGTTGTACATTCACCTCGCGAGGTTCATCACCGTTCGCAACTCCTGTATCTGAGAATCGAGGAGATCGTAAGTGTAGGGCAGAGGATCGTGATTGTTATGGAAAAGATCGCGTGCGTCGAAAACGAGATGCTCCACTCGTTTTTGTTTAAATAATATTAATTTGAGGTTGAAAGTTTATGTTCGTGCTCATCTCAAAAGATGTAAAATTTAACAGTTGTGACGACTTTATTAAAAAATTTCAAGCTACATACTGTGAAGTGATTACGAAGATCCGCTTTTTTTATACCTTTTTTTTTTTTTTTTTTTTTTTCCGCGTAAATTTAGTTAATAATGATCGATATTTCCAATAAAGTATTATCGAGGAAATCATTATTTAATTGCTTTTTCATCACTCAACCCTGATTATTTTAAGTAGTATTGTGATGATATTTTGGAATGACGTCTTAAGACGTAAATTCGTTTTATATGAACCTAATTATCTCTCAAAAGAACGAAATTTTGATCTCAATTAGTTAAGAATAAACTCTACTAAATGTAGATACACTCCCCGGTCAAAAGTATTGGACCACGTGATTTTCGTTATACTAATTGGCGTAATTTTTGCCGATTATAACTT